ATACTATAAAAAATGTGGGATCTGAAAGGGGATTAACTCCTAAGATAAATGAATAAAGCATGAAGTTTCCAGACTTCAGGGACCTGACATGTAATTTGCCCAAAATATGTAAAATAAGCACTCCCCCCTTATATTCCTGTAACGTGTGAACACAAAAAATCCAACCCTTTTTTTATTTCATTTACAGTATTTTCATCTCCTTTCCAACAACCTCCAAGCTTCCTCATCAGCTTGTACGGTTTGCTTCTGAGCTTCTTTCGCCTTTAAAGCCTCTGTATATTGCTCGATCGAACCCTTTTCGTCTTCTCAAAGTTCAAACAAAGTGAAATAGAATATGCAAGCAACAAAACCCAGCCGAAATAAAGGTAAAAATTATACCTTTTTTATATAGCTTCAAGATTGGTACAAAAGCTTCGATCTCTTTAGTCGTAGGATTTTTTCTTCTCGTAATCATATGATCTTGTGTGTGTAATGATGTTGATTTACATGGATATTTATAAGGCTCTGTAAATCTTACTTTTAAGAGTTTAAATCCTAGTGAAATACTGATATTTGGGTTCGTTTCTATTTCATGCGTGTACGATGCCTTAAGAACCGGGTAGTTGACCGAGAGCTTTGGCTGTTTGGGTTCGTGCATCGTGGGGAGTCTTTGCTGAAGGGGAAATATGGTTTACGGGTCCACTGCTGGACCCGGGTCGCAGCTCCAGGGTCTTGGTGTGTAACTTGGGCTGTTACATTGGGCTCGTATTTCAGGCTACTGTTGGGCCTGCAAAAAAAGAAAATGTGTACATAATTAGGACGAAATATGGTGTCTATAAATAGTATATGGTCTGGAATTGGCATAATAATGTGTAAATTAATTGCCTCGAGCAAATTAGTTAACCCAACTTGAACTCTAATCTTCAATTTCAACTTCCAATGGCTCCTCCCACCACTTCTCCCGAGCTCTTACATTACAAGGTCTTCCACATTCAGCATTCGACCAGATCATAACTCGTCATCAATCCACAGCCATAATAGACCCAAGAGTTAGCCAAGGACTAATAATAGAATCCAAATTGGCTCCGAATCTTTTGACTGAAAGGGCAGAAAGCCACGGTCAAGGGCCAATCCGCACTTGCCACCACCTCATGGGCGGTGGTCAGTCTATGAACCATTCTGTCATACAATCGAATAGTACCAAGAAAATACCTTTCTCGCTTCACCACACAATGCATCTGCAACATTACTATCCATAGATTAGAACTGCAACTGACATTATTTCCCAGTTTCATATGACTGCAACGGATACAACCTGAGGATCTTCTCTTAGCATTCAAGCCAGCCAGGGATCATAAAAGCTTCCAGAGCTTGGTTGGCTGTATTCCGATTACAGAGGGTTGGATACCAAATTAGGATATCACCCCTGAAAAAGAATGTCCGGGAAAAATAAATGGTAATGAACAAGGTTTTAAAAAACGGTCCGCGACTGCGATTTCGTCCGCGATATAACAGTTTCGCCGCCGTCCGAGTTACCCGCAACGCCCGCAATCACAGTAAATCCGAAATAACCGAAAACGCAACCGCGACTTGAAACCCTGGTAATGAAAGAATACCGGGATGAAAGGACAGATTGCAGAAATTAATCCCCCCCCCCCAAAAAAAAAAAAACTAGAGACTCGTGTAGCTTCCATCTGAATTTGAATGTCCACCAAAATTTTCACATCAAAAACATTCATACAGTTGACAGCCAAGAAAAACTAATGGAATTTATACCTCTTTTGAGAGTCATCGCTAAAGCATGCTACATGTCAAAGTAGCCTGAGCTGCAAAGGGAAGAGATGTTAGGAAGCAACATTTGCAAAAAATATATGCCATTTATATAGCATTCGACATAGGATGGTCTGAATACGTGTACAACAAGTATTTTAGTATCACACACCTTACAACTCACAACACATACTCTCGTTACCCAAACAAGCTTGTATACGCCTACAAGTTAGAAGACAAAAGGTCTCATACCTAAACCATCTGTATACAGAAGAAATTAGCTTCACCACATTCATGATTCACCTTGCAACTGGCTGGTCGATATTTCTTCCTGTGACTGATTTTGGGACAGCACAACCTGCTCTTAGATTACATAGCAAAACATCACGCCCAGTCAAAACTATTTTGAAAAAGCTCCATCTAACACCTTTGAAAGATTATCTAGCCCTTGTGATAGTGTCTCTGCCATGTTCCGCAAATCTGAAACAGAAGTAATGAATGGTTCAGCTTCGGCTGGACCAAACCCATCTTGAAGGAATGGATACAATTTCTTGGAACAACCATCAACAGCATGAAGTTCTCTAAGAGCTGTAAATTCTCCACAAGAAAATATGTTTCTAATTTTTGTATTCACAGTTGCTTGCACATCAGAGAAAACTTGTGCCCATGGTAGCGTAGCAGGAACAGGCAAATCTAACAAATTCTTGGTAGAACCAGAGAAAGCTGCAGCAAAAACACTACAGATATATGTAGTCGCGACCTTAGCTCCATACATGGCATTCATCAAAACCTTCCCTTTAGCAGAGTTCTTCACCTTAGGCAAGTTCAATGACTCCACAAGTTTGTCCAGTATAGGACAAGTTTCAACTCTGGGATTTTTTTAACAGATTTGTTGTCTCCAGCTATCAACTGAGGAACAGGCCTGTAGAAACTGGTCGGAGGAGTTGGACTCCAACTTATGCAAGACACACTGGAGTCGCTTTCTGAGATTCACTGTGACATAAAGAACCTGATAACTGAACTTGAACTTCCTGTGACTGATTAGGATGAGAAATGGATAGATGTGTACCTGGACATAAGTGTAAAGTTGCTTGATATTAGTATTGCTTTTACCTCTGAACTTACAAGGCTCAACCATTTATGTCACAGTGAATCTCAGAAAGCGACTCCATTGCTAGTTTCATCCATGAGAAGCTAAGGATGTCATTCTTGTCTTTAGGCACAAGTCTTTGTAGCCTCTCCAAGAAGGTGGCCTCAAAAGCATTCAATAAAGAAATCAGTCTTGAGGCAACTGAGAGCCCTTTGGTGTACGGAAAGGATTTCCAAAATGGAAGAAAGGGCGATGTGGTTCTTGAGGACGGCTCATTTTTTGATGTATTTACTACAATATCCAAAGATCAAAGACAATCACATCACAAAAACAATACTTGATAAACCAAATCATATTAATAATTAACAGATATAAAAAACCCAGAAGTTTCCATAAGTAATCATCTTTATAGTTTATAATATTATGCAAACATGGGCATATAGCTTGAGACCATTAGTTCCACCATCCCGCAATAAAAGTATTCCAGCCTATACCTACCTCTCATTTCTAAGAACAAGGGAAAGTAACTTGAACCTTTGACCAATACCATACACAGCAGATCTAATCACATAATACATAACAAGCATAAAATCGTTCGGATTGAATTTTGTTCAAGGGTAAAATAACAAATGCAAAAGATATGGTGTAACAACAAATCATAAGAAATACATCTAGATTTCCTCCATGAATACTAGGAGAAACTTGATACTGAGAAACAGCCAAGTCATTTCTACACAAAATAAGATAATTCTAAACCAAAAATTCAAAGAAACCCTGAAAATCACACCTTAAAAAAAGCTTTAAAATCCAAAGTCAAAACTCAGAAACCACATAAACTAGAGCAGATCTGATGAATCTGAGACCCAAAACATCCATAAAGGAAAAGTCAAACAAATACAAAAGTAAACAAAAAAAAGAATTACCTAAAGTTTAGATTCCTAACCAAACGACCGATTAAACCAAGCAGAAGAAGAATCATCCACAGATCTGTTAAAGCTTCATTGACAGCAAAAGATAAACACAATTATAAAAAATAGATTTCAAACAACTAATCTAAAAAATGAAAAAAAAAATGGTATTTCTTCAACATCGCACATGGAAAGCCAAATGAAACAACAAAAAGGGAAATAGAGAAATTGTACCCGAGTACTGGAAAGAGAATTTGGAAATATCGAACAAAGCTGCAAATGCGTGGTGTATTTTTCAGCTTAGTTGAAATTCAGGAGAGTTGACGATAAGGGGTGTTTGATTTAATCACTGCCTGTTATGTACTGGCAGCCACAGAATGTATACGTGGAGCACAATGATTGGGTAAAAGAAAAAAGGGTAAATTTTAAATTTCACTATACTTTACTTCTTTCTTATCTTATTTTGTTAACTGAATTTTAAAAAAAAATCAATTTTCTCATTAAACTTAATATGTTTGATTTTTTTGTTCATTCCTTTATTAATTATTTAACGACGTTAAAATGACATCATTTAAAATAAATCACCAAAACCTGAGCAAAATCTGGCGTAACTGCATCAATATGAAGCAGAGTTATCACTAATGGACATTCAATTTTTCCTTAGGGTGAACAGGCCATTCAAAATCCACATGAAATGTCCATCTTCCCAATAAACAAATAGAGAAACATGTCTTCTTGTAACAATAAAGAAATGTCAATATGAATCAGAAGCAGCTGCTACACCCTATTTGATTTACATCATAGTAGATGATTTAAGTGCTCTATAGACAGCATTATAGATGCACTATTTAATCCTCTCAAAAAAAATAGATGCACTATTTAAGTACTGTTTTTTGTTTATTATTTAAGAAATTGCATGTGTCCTGATATTTGCTATTCCAGTGTTTGCACCTTCGAGATATGGTCATATATCAACATGGTCCAGTGATGCATGCCCATATAAGCCTCAAAGTAGAAAAAAAAAATACTAACCTCTAGACTGCTTCCCATGATACCGTGGGTCAATGGTTTCACCAAACAACCGAGTTCTTGGAGTGCTTTGGTTGCTACTACTGTAACAAGAATTGAGCGCAATAGTTGGTCCAGCCCATGATGCATCTGGAAACATACATGATCCATATGTGATCATATTTTGGGACTTGAGAGTAAGAAAAAAAGAAGATAGAAACAGTGCCGGAAAAATCAAAACCTTTGGTCACTTGGGGTTCAAAGATGGGTGGCACAGAGTTGCAACTACAGGAAGACAAAGCTGAAGTGGCAATTGGATTCCCATGCATTGACGATGAATCTGGCCTGCACGTATAACCGGAGTTATGTAAGGCAGATGAAGATTGAAATGGTCCAACAACTTGGGGTACAACAGTAGCTGCAATAGATGCAAAAGTAATAGAAGGTGACAGGGGGGTCAATTCACGATCAATGACACCCCAAAAAATACGACTGATATAAAAATATTGGTCATACTGACCATTTTTGGGAGCCTTTTGTGGGTATGCATGAGCTGCTCTCCTTTTTGACCGAGGAGGAAGAACATGTTCACTTGTCTCTGAACTTTTAGGAAGTACTTTTCCGCATGGCTACGGATCTGCCAAGAGAACCCATTGAAGTATTCAGTAAAATGTATCCAAAACAACATATAGACAAGTCAATGCCAAACAAAATCAAACAATCTTTTCAATTACCTGGACCCAGCAAATGCTTCAATCTTCTTCCAATCACGATCAAATCTAAAATGAGTAAGGTAAACAAAGATCTCGTCAGCACCATGATCCACCGAGTATGAACATAAAAATGTAGAAAAAAACAGACTTGATTAATAAATTTGTACATTGGGGACTGAATCAAAATTTTCAGGCATTCCATAAACATAATTCCAAGTATTCGGAGTTAAAATTATTGCGGAAGATTATTATCGGATAGAGTAAAATCGCAACTGATAATTTGAGAAAATAAAAATAAAGATACAAAATTTACGTGAGAAACCCCTAAATAATATATAATATAGGATAAAAACCACGGACAACGGTAGAAGAATTTTACTATAAGAAAATAGGAATTACAATTTCTCTTATTCTACCAAGGAGAAAACAATGATAATTATCTCTTAATAAAAATGAGAAAACAACTCTTAAGAAACTCTCTAAATTCTCTCTAGTATTAGAAGAAAACTAGAATGCTTTGAGATAATTTTTAAACTAAATGAACTAGAGTATTTATAGTTGAAGCTTAAAGATTAATCTTATAAATACACTAAAATTTAGTAATTAAAATTTATAATTCATCCATATAAAATATATAAAAAATTATGTACCTCATTTTTGGTGCCTTAATTACACCGAAAGACGCACCCATAATAATTATAATTTTTTTTTGACTTTCTACAAAAATAAATATCTTATATCTGTTTCTCTTCAACCCATTACAAATCATCTGAATAATCACCAAGCAAATGCATTGAAGTGGTAAGATTACCAGTAAAACGAAAGTCCTTCAGCAAATCTAGCAAACTAAATTTACAACACTCGAGTTTATTATCTCCACAACCCCAACAACCCTCAGAACTCGCAAATATGAATATAACATATAGTTATAAACCTTAAAATTTAGTAAAGTTATTGACAATTGAAGAGCTTCGAGAAACTTATCGTGCTCCAGCTCAGTCCAGCTCTCTCTAGACTTGGTAATAGTATAAGGTTTCCGGATCTTCTTGCTTGGCTCCTCCGATCAGGAAGCCGCGGATGTGAACACGGTGTTAGAAGGAGGAGGCGTCACCGTATCGGGAGGCGGAAGAGAACTATGACCCATATTCTTGGGATTGAAGAAGTAAAACCCCTGAACCGGGCTGGGGTTCACGGACACCATAAGCTAGAAAATAACAAAGATTAATCTTTATATAGAAAATAATAATAAATTGATGCAGTTTAAAGAAATTTAAAAGCTGTGGATTTTACTGGTAAAATGGCGGGATCCTGGCCGTACACGTGGGAAAAAGTGGTCGCCGGATGGGTAATGCAGGACAAGTGGCAAATTTGCAGCCGGATTCGGGATTTGTGCAGTTACCGTTATGGCCGTACATCTTTTATTTTCTGAATATATTATGATAATTTATGGGTAAAGTACACAAATGTTCCCTTAACTATAGAGTACTGCTTTATTGAGTCACTCAACTATTGATAGTTACAAAATGATTTTTTGACTATAGGACGTTGCTTTCTTAGGCCCTTTGACTATTAAAAATCACAAAATGATCACCTGATTATTCATTATGTTTCAAACTTGTCCTTTTTTATTAAAAAGATTATGGTAATTTGAGTTTGACGTTAACTTGTTGACTAAGATACGATAGTCGTTTAAGATTCTAATTTCATATTATATCATATATCAATCAGCAAGTTAATATTCCAACTCAAACTGACATCAAATTTTTAACAAAAAATGACAAGTTTGGAACACAACGAATAATTGAGTGATCATTTTGTAACATTTAATAGTCGGGGACTTAAAAAGCAATGTCTTATAGTTAATGATCATTTTATAACTTTTAATAGTCAAAAGACTTAATAAAATAACACCTTTATATTTGGGGGACTATTTATATACTTTACCCATAATTTATTTACATTCAACAAATCTTTTAATAATATTTTTAGTAATTTATTATTTTTATCTTGCAATGTATTTTCATGATTTTAAAATAATTTTATTTTTCAAAAATTAAACATATAATTAACAAGTTTATAATTTAAATATAGAGAAAATAACCTCAGTGACCAAAAATCGTATATTATAAGGTATATTTGGTCATTGATATTATTTTCTCTTTAAATATATCAAATGTTTTGTACTATTTGAAACTTTAAAAATATAGCTTTTATATCATAAAAGTTTTCAATTTACTAACTGAACTTAATACATTGAATTTTCTTGGTCACTAAATTTTATTATTTTTCTTATTGTAATCACCCAATCGTTAAATAGTTAATGACGTTAAAAATGATGTCATTTTGAAAGAAATAAATTTTTTACCAAAACAACGTCGTTTTGCATCTATATAACTACTAAGTTTAATGAGAAAATTTAAAAGATTTAAAGTATAGTGAGAGAAATAGGAAGAGAATAAAGTCCAATTGCCAAATTTGTAATTTACCCAAATAATTATATATTATCGTACTATTAAACTTAGATATTTATAATATTATTTTGTGAATAAATATATAAATAAAGGTTGAAAGCAATGAGTCAACTCAAAAAGATGGGTGAGTCTAAAAAAAAATTATTTAATACGCCTTTAACGAATATTTACTTTTTTTACACCGTTTAATATATATTTCTTGAAATGACACCTTTTTGGCTGAGCTGGCAAAAGGCGCGTCCCAGGGACGCGCTTTATCCGTGTTTTCACTGAGTTGGATGTCACGTGTGGAAGGCGCATCCCCGGGGACGCGCCTTTCGCCAGCTCGACTGTCACGTATTTTGTTTAATAATAAATATTTTATTTTTATTATTATTAAAATTAATATATTATGTAAAGTGTTTCGATTATAATGTAAGAATTATCAAATGTATTTTGTTAATGTGTGTTAAAGGTGGAGTGAATTATCTACATTAATATAATATAACAATATATGAAAACCAGTTTTGACTTTATTGTAGTTATAGGAAAAATATATGAAATTATAATATTACACATATGGTTATATTATTATTTTTGATTTTGATTATCGATCTATTAATTTTATTAGTTAATTATTTAAATGTTATCAATTTAGTCATCTCTTATCATATTTAACGAAAATATTAATGCATAAGTTAATAAATTAGTATAATTTTAATCTTCAAGACTTACATATTTTATGAAATTAGTCTTATTGAAAATTTAATTTAATAAATTTAATCATTCAATCAGAACATGAAATGTACCATCGTATACATAAATTATTTAATAACTTTTAATTTGTTTAATTTAATATTTTTCTCTACTTAGAAGGTAGAATTATTATTATATTTTAAAAATAATTATAACTAATAATATTAATTATTATATTAAATAAATATATTAAAAATATTTATGTATTTAAAAGTTAAAAAAATTATTTAGGTGTTGTCAACACACCTTTTTCATCCTACTAGGATTCAAACTCTCAAAAATAGGATAGAATTATGCTTGGATTCAACTCCTAAAAATATGATAGAATTTTGCTATGTTTTAAACTCCTAAAGATAGGATCCACAAGCACTATAAATAGTCATTGTAGCTCACTATTGTAACACACGATGGACATACGAAATTACCAGAAAAAAAAATACGAGCAAATAAATTGTTTTGAAGCTATTGTAAACAATTCAGGAGCAATAAAAGGTGAAAGCTTTTACCTTTCGCATTCTTTCTTCTTGCATGTGTTGTTATTCGTCTTTGTGCTTAAAAAAAACAGTTTTGGCCGAGGAAAAGGGGTTGTCGTTCGAAACTTTTCTTTTAGATCTACACAACCCCGATGCCGTTTTGGAAAAATACTAGAATATTTAAAACGAGGGAATGAAAGGCTTTTAAAAATCAATTTTTTTTTCGAGGTTTGCCGCCGATGAACGGTCCTTTATGTATTATTTCATATTTTTATTTATTTCTTTTGATAATTCGTATTATTAGTATATATATATAATTATTTTATTCTAATATTATTTTAATGTTTTTAAAGTTATTATATATATATATTTATAACTATTATATTTATTATTATTACTATTAACGTATAAATATATTTTCTCTTTTGCTACTATTATTATCATATATATTTTTTTATTGTATTTTATTTTTTATTTTTACTTTTTTTAAACATATGCATATATATACATTAATTATATTTTTATATTTTATACTTCTTTATTTTTTTGTTTTCATGTATTTATATTATATTACAATATTATTATTTTACTTTATTAAATTATTTTTTTTCGTTATATTTATTATATATATATATTATATCATAATGTTTTTTTGTTTATTCATTCTTACTATATTATAGGGATACATCACACTCATTTATTAACTACGGTCCTACTCCTTATCGTCTTTCCTTCCCGACAGTTATACTTCACCAAACCTTGACTTTCTTTTTTACTTTCTTTTGGTGTGATTGCGTTTTTTTTTTATTTACTATATTATCATTATTATTATTTTGCACTTAATAATTATATATTTTTATTCATCTTTTAGTTTTTCATCATTTTTTTCCCTTCTATTTTCTTTATTTCATTTACTCTTATTTCCTTTTTCCTTTAACGCGTTTCTCGACTTTTTAAGGGTACTCTTTCAAATTGATCGGAGGTAAGTAATTTTGGATCATATGTTACCTTTAAATTTTAACTTTCGATTTTCTTAATTAAAAAACAACTGGAAATTACGTAGTACCGAAAGGGCGGTTCAAGGGTGCTAATCCTTCCTTGATCGTAACCGACTCCCGAATCCGACATATCTTTGGTAAGACGCAGATCAGGTAAGATATAAGGTATCCGATTAACCTATTTTTTTTTAAATAAATAATCGGTGGCGACTCAAATCACATTTTTCAAGTCGAAGCCCAATTCCGGGGCCCAACCGAAAGACGGTTACGACAGCTTGGCGACTCCACTGGGGACACAGGTAAGTGAGTCAGGCTAAGGTAATTTCCAGTTGTCTTTTTAATGAAAAGGGTAAGTTTAAATTTTAAGGTAACATTTCGATCCTTATTACTTACTTTTGATTATATTTTCGAGTAATTAGTTGTACTAACCGTTTTCTCAATGATTTCAGCCCTTAAAGTCTTTTTTCATCTAAGGCTCTAAACCCGAGCTCCGAACCCGTTTTAAGTGGGGGTGAAAGCGACGCATTCGTGTGAATTTATTCACCGCATATGCCTAGCAAGTAGCCTTCGGGATTCATATACCTTATGTCTTCGTGTGAATTTATTCTCCGCATAGACATAAGGGAATGTGTCCTCTCGAGTTTAACTTAGTCCACACAAACCTGTGATGGGTTTAAGACTAAAGGTCTGGCAAGCCCAAAGGGGCACCAGCAAGGAGAACTCGGGTACCATTTTTTTAGAACCTAAACCGGGAGACTATGGAGAATTAGAGCCCACCCCAAAACCTCACTTCAAACCCTAGGTTGTTTTATTTCATGCTTTACTTTCTGTTCAAAGCATGCGAACTAGACAATATGCGGTTAGGATTGTTTGAAATTAGCATGCGGGATAGAGATCATGTCCGGGTAGGAATAATAATAAGCATGTGGGTAGATATCATGTGGGTAGGACTTTCATTTTTATGATCGTTTTGATTATTTTCACCTCACTAACTCTTTTCATCTTTATTTTATTTTATTTTCATCACTTGCATAATTAAAAAGAGGTTATTGATCCACTAAAACGTGTTTGTTAAAACTCGAATAATCTGAATCCATGGACAAAGGTGTTGTAATACAAGAGATGAAAATACAGAGGATAGTCTACAAGGCGACTATGTGTCACATTCAATCCAGAAGACGTGGTGCCCACAATTGAAGAGTATATCACTCTGCTGCATTATAAAAGACTCCAAATGAACCGGGTCTACATCAAGCACAATGAAAGCTTATCTTTGAAGAACTGACTGGCAGAGGTTGCAGGGCAAGATGAAGGTTATGTATCTCGGAAGTCCCTTTGAACACAACAATGGCAAAATGATAGCTGAAATTGGAGACCATTGCCGGCGAATTCAAGAAACAGGTTAATGAACTTCACATAGTTCCTATCAATTAAGAGCTCCAATGACGAATTCGTTGGGAACAGGCTCAACAAAAGTAAATGCTCGAGATGCGATCATTCGAGACTTCTT